CCTGTTTAAAAAGTTTGAGGACCCCTGCCTTGGGGAGAGGACTGTCTGCAAGCTTCTTCCAATGAGGTGTCTGGAGCTTCTTGACAGTGCACACGCCTGGGCATGTGCACTCAGTTGTGGTGCTACTGGAGAGCTGTTTACAACATGGCATTGATGCAGGGAATGTGAATTAAAGTCTGTTACGTGCTTTATTTCTTCCTTTCTAACAGGGGCTTTGTCAGGTTTCTGCTGGAGTTAGTAAATACATGAACTTAAACTAAGAGCTTTCCTATTTAAAAATGTATTTGCAGCCTAGAAGAGCTGCAGTGTGGCTGCAGTTTGTGGCTGCTCTGCTGCTTGCAGGTGTCATCTGCTGTCTTTGTTGTCTCCCCTTTGTTGTGCTGGACTCCACTTTTCTGATAGTTGCAGCTACATTCCTCTTCAAAAACATTTTCCTTTTACTGGCTAAGTAGTAGATAACAAAGTGAAGCGAAAGTGCTTTGCAGACTTGCTGGAGCACACTCATGATTTGTGCAGAGAGAGGGAGCAGTCTGTACAAAGCTGGGGTTCGCTGCCATCTAATTGCAAATTGCTCAGGAAGTCAGAATTGTTCTGGATAAGTTTAGTAGAATTTAGTAAAAGAGGGGAAAAAGATGACTTCGCTTTAAATATGGACCGCTGTTAACAGTTGCAGGAATAATTAATGAATTCTCTTTTTCACTTACAGCGGCGGTGTTATGATCTACATTGACCGAATAGAAGTTGTGAATAAATTGGCACAATACGCAGGTATTTCCTCCCAAGGGGAAGAGGAGGGGCAGGCGCTGATCTCTTCTCTCTGGCCACCAACGCCAGGAGCAGAGGAAATGGCAGGAAGATGTGGCAGGGGAGGGTGAGGTTGGCCATGAGGAAAAGGTTCTTGAGGCAGAGGGTGGTGGAGCACTGGGACAGGCTCCCCAGGGAGGTGGTCATGGCACCAAGCCTGACAAGATTCCAGAAGCATTTGGCCAACATGTGCCCTCAGACACATGGTCTGAATGTTGGGATTGTCCTGTGCAGGGCCAGGAGTTGGACTGGATGATCCTTGTGGGTCCCTGCCCACTCACAACATTCGATGATTCTATGATTGTCTTTGCTCACCCTGTAGCCACTGTGTCTTGGTTTGCAAGACTTCAATTTTCCTTGTCTTGTTTTCCTTGTGGTTCCCAGTACCATAGCAGTTAGTTTCATGCACATGTCTGCAAGAAAAAGAGGCAGATTTGCGAAAAAGAAAATAAATTCTATGATTGCTTATCCCATGTACATTTAGAAATGTGTTGGGTGCTCAAGCAGTCCTATTTCTTGCTGCTGAAGGGGAGACCACCTGTGAAACTAAATACATGCGACAAAGCTCCCAGGTGCTTGCCAGCTCAGCTCCTGGGAAAATTACAAATGCAAAGCCTGTGTAGGAGCCTCTTACCTTCTTATTTCACCCACCGCTCAACCAAAGACCCACACAGCTTTTTGTTTCAGTAGCATCACTTAATGCAAAATTCCCACATTACTGAGGCATTGAAGGGTGAATTCATGTTATAATTGTGGGAATGATATTTGTTTTCACTTTATAGTAGTAGCTGTTCCTATGCATGCAGGTCCTGGACAGGCTTTACTGTTTTATTTGTTTATGCAGATCATAAAACAGAACCATGCAGTGTATCTTGCTGTAATTACTCTGCTCTTTGAAGTCAGGTAATCCCAGCAGCACTGGTAGAGTGGACCTCTGCAGGTTTCTCCTCTGACATCCCTCACACTCACAGCAGGCTTCTCACTCAGCTGGGCAGGGCAACTGTGGCTTTGTCCAGCTGAGTCCTGAAAACTGCCAAGGATGGAGATCCCACACCTACCTGTCTCAGAGCTGCACAACTTTCCTAATACCCTGAGCTGTTGTTTTGTGGTTATGGCATTGCAGAAAGCAGTACCTGTCAGTGGTGACCTGTGATAATTCTCTTACCTCCTCAGTGTACGATATTGTGAGAAACTATACTGCAGACTATGATAAGACTTTGATCTTCAATAAGATTCATCATGAGCTGAATCAGTTCTGCAGCGCCCATACCCTGCAGGAAGTATACATTGAGCTGTTTGGTAAGTGGATGGTGGCTGGATGCACGCACCAAGGGCTGTGTAATCTCCCTGTTCTGTTGGAGTATGTCACAGCAGGTTCCTGCGAGCGAACAGCCTCTCTGCTGGAGTTGCAGTCTAGCTCTTTGTACATCCGTATGTCACTTCCTGTGTAATTTCGGTGATTCAGATTTCTCTGACTTTCCACATCTCCATGTGGAAATTTGATTTTAGTCCTTTCCCACTTAGGACTGAATTCCAGATACACAAAGTAGCCACTCTGCTCTTGTGCGTGCAGTCAACCCCATTGCCTTCACTATTGAGGTGGTTTCACTCTTTTGACTACAGCCAAACTCAGCCTGTTCTATCACTCTTCCCCTTCCCCCCCAGGGAGTAGGGGAGACAATTGGAAAGAAAAGGGCAAGGAGACTCACGGGTTGAGAAAAAACTATTTACTAATTAAAATAAAATGATAATTATAACAACAGTAATAACGGAATACACAAATGAGTGATGCACAGTGCAATTGCTCACCACCCGCCAACCAATGCCCAGCCTGTGCCCGCCAGCGATCCCGGAGCAGAGACAGTCCTGAAACCCCAGAAGAGTGAGAGCCTGAGTGATCCCCAAGCGAATCCCCCCGATTTCCAGTCAGCCCTGACTGATATACTGACATGACGTGATATGACATGGAATATCTCATTGGCAGAGCCAATGCCAGTTTGGGGTTTTGCTGTTCACTGCGCTTCTCCCTCCCGGTCTTAATGCAGCTGTGAACCAGCCAAACACGGTGGCCTTGGGCTCCAGCAGCAACTAATAACATCAGAACCTGATCAGCATTCTTCTCATAACACATCCCACACTGAAACCAAACCACAGCTATTTGAGCTACTATGAAGAAAATTAATTCTGTCCTAGAAAAACCAGGACAACTATGATGATGGTTTTATCTTGTTTCCTTCTACTTTAAGACCCCTCTTCTGTTGCTGAATTTACTTTTTTTTACAGCTTCCTCTGTCTGTTTTTAGCAAGTTAGAGCCGAAAGGGACATGCTCTCAGTTCATTGCAATGCTGTAGTTTTTTCACAAGGGGGTAGCAGTGGTTCTGGAATTAACAAATTAAATGTTCTGCTTCTTGATACCTGCCTGTGCCCAAAAAGACAACAGCATCATGTTCCTTCTGGAGTGGCAGAGCAGGGGAACATGGGTTTATGGAACATAAAACGTTGTCAGAATTTTAATATTAAGAGACTGTCAATCCTTGAATGCTATACTCAGACTTACCAAATATCTGTAGTCAGAGAGGAGTTTCCTGGTAGTACATGCAGCTTAATCCCTTCATAGCTGGCCATTTCTGTGGAAGGACCTTACTGGAGCTTGCAAGTGACAAAATGCATTTTTTTCAGTAGCAAGTACTGGATCCTGCAGGTCCCTAGAGACTTAAGGCAGAGCTTGCTGCTGGCAGTGGGGTTGGTGTGGCTCCAGCTAGGAAGGAGTAGACTTCTACGACAGGCTCTGGGTGCTGTTTCTTGCTGAGATGCTGAAAGCCGCTTGCCCTCAGCTCAGATACCATGAGTTCATCAGTAGCTGAACCTTTCTAGAGATGCTAGCATGTGGCTCTTCTCTCAGGAATGCTTCCCAGGGCATGTAGGAAGGGAAACAATGTACTGAATGATATCAGAAAGCATCTTTATCTTACACCGTAGAGATACCTGCTCTTCAAGGCCAGCTGAGTCTCTGCCACACAAGCTGTAGGAGAAATTATAAGCTAAGTGGTCTCTCTTTTGTCTTCCAAACACAGATCAGATAGATGAGAATCTGAAGTTGGCTCTGCAGAAGGATCTCAATGTCATGGCACCAGGTCTCACTATCCAGGTAGGCTCATTCCTTAAAGATTACTCTTTTTTCACCTCTAATTTGCTCACCTTGTACTAGATGGATGAGGTTTCTTGCTTCGGTTTTCCACAGAACGTGAAATAGTCAAGATATGAGTTGAGGCTGGTCAGTTGAAGACTGTCTGTGTGACAGTGACTACTTCTAAACGGTAGTTTTATGTTAGTGGAAGACCTACAGGGTAGAGAAAAGGGCCTTTGTGGTGGTTTGACCCACAGTGGGACCATGCGGTCCTGCACTCACCTCCGCACCCGGCGAGATGGGAAGAGAATCACAACAAAGGGGCAGTTTAGGATGAGGACAGGGAGGGCTCGCTCACCAGTTATGGTCACGGGCAAAACAGACTCAACTTGAGGAAGAAACATCAATGTAATTTGTTACCATTCATCTGAGTAGCACAGTGAGACATAACAACCACATCTCACAACACCTTCCCCCAACCCTCCCTCCTTTCCCGGTTCAAATCACTTTGCTCCTGATTTCTCTACCTTCTTCCCCCCAGTGGCACAGGAGACAGGGAATGGGGGTTCAGTCAGTTCACCTCTGCTGTTCTTCCTGGCATGAAAGTCCAGGAACAAGATGTTCCAACTCAGCTTCCCATGGAGTCATGGACTTCTTCAGGCTCAGCTCCCGGCTCTGAGGCTGCAGATTCCCCCCCCACTCTGGGGGTCCACCGCCGGCTCTGGCTTGGGGTCACAATTCCAGTCACACTTGTCCTCAGGCTCAACTCCTCTGCTCCAGCGTGGGGTCCTCCATGACCTACATGTGGGTTCTGCTTCGCCGTTGAATCTCCATGGGCTGCAGGGGACTTCCTTTTCCTTCTCCTACTCCAATCATGTGAACCGGGTGTGTGGATTTTGTCCTTCTTTCTGGCAATGAACCTCTCTCTCTCTGTTGTATGTCCTTTGTTTAGGCTGATGGTCGTCTTTTATTTGTCAGTCTCCTCTCCTCCAGGTTTTCTCCACCTTCTTCCTTTCAGGACAGCCCTTCCCCTCACCAATATGGATTGGCAGAGGCGTTTCTCTAGTGCTCATTTGCCCAGCGTGGGCTGGGGGCGGATGGGGTCTGCTTTTGGAACCAGGGGAGCTTTTTGCTCTCACAAGGTTGCCCTTCCCCCACTACCAAGAAAACGGCTTTTCCCCCAACACACACAAACCCAACACAGCCTTTTAGGCCACAGACCTGCAGATATTGGATTTACTTTGCAAAGAGCAAGAAAATGTTTTTCTTTAAACTGCATTTGGCACCCCTGCAGAGCTGGGCGCTCCAGTGTGCCAGTGCCATTCCTACAGGTAATTGCAAAAGCAAAGAGATCTTCATCTTTTTTGCATTTTTACCAGAGATAGGGAA